GACCACCTAAGGAACTCCACAGAAAACTCCTGCCACAAATCGAATCCCTTTTTAAAAAACACAGGTTTTTCAGAGTGTGCCATCCTCCATAAAGATACACTCACACAAAAACAACACAAAACAAAACGATACACTCACACATTCACATTCACTTCCACCAAGTATAATGGTTATATAATTAGAATCCCATTATCCCAAACAAATTTGGTCTCACCCCAAATTTTTTTTTTAATTTGTTTTTTAATCTTTATTTACCTTTGAGAGAGAGAGAGACACACACAGTGCGAGCAGGGGAGGAACAGTGAGAGAGAGGGAGGCACAGAATCCAAAGCAGGCTCCAGGCTCTGAGCTGTCATCACAGAGCCCGTCAAAGGGCTTGAAGCCACAAACCGTGAGATCATGACCTGAGCCAAAGTCAGACGCCCAACCGACTAAGCCACCCAGGCACCCATCACCCAAAAGTTCTGAAGGGTATCTTTGGGCATAGGCATCACATCTATGGTAACCCTTTAGGAAATAACAGGCTAAGTGATAGTTACTGCCATACAAATGTCTGAGAGTGCGGTGTTTGCATTTGTTGGGCTCAAATAACTGTTCACAGACAAAAAGAAAAAAAAAGAAACTACAAATGTGACTAAGCCTATTATCTGAGCCTTCCTGAAAACTCTCACTTAGTTTTCCACAAGACAGATTTAGTAACCGTGTTAATGTCAAAGATAACCAAAAGGACCAGACCAGCCACACCGTCTGCTGCAGGCTTCCTGGCTAAATGAAGACATGTGATGCCCCACTGTTCTGGTTCATGTAGCATAAGTTCGCAGAGTATCTGGTACTTCTCCTTCACAGCATTTTATAATCTTAATTGCAAAAGTAATTACTTATTTTGTTATTAATGCCTGTCTTCCATGTTGAAAGTTCCAGAAAGGCAAGGCTCTCATTATATCCTCAATATCTGTGCCTTTGCATAGCAGATGTGAGGTGGGTTGGGGGGGGGGGAGGGTAATAAAAGAGTATTCAGCTACATAGTCACTGTATTATCCAAAGTGAAGCCATCTAAGGATGGCTCTCTCAAAGGATAGTAGATATAGACAAGAATGTGGAGAAAGGAGAATGGTCATATACTGGATGTGTAAAATGGTACAACCATTTTGGGGATTTAACATTTTCTGATTAGCATACCATATGATTAATACATAGATATATACATACATATACGTGTGTGTGTGTGTGTGTGTGTGTGTGTGTGTGCGTGTGTGTGGAGGGAGAGAGGGGGAGAGAGAGGGGGAGGGGGGGAGAGAGAGAGAGAGAGAGAGAGAGAGAGAAAGAGAGAAAGAGAGAGATTTACATCCACTAGATTATATGTACTGTAAGGTTCACAGCAGCATTGCTCAGAGTTGCCCCAAATTGGAAACAACCAAATATGCACCAAGAGTGAAATGAATTAGTAAAGTGTGTGTGTGGTATATTCATACAATGGAATGAATACTATATGGTGATGAAAATGAATGAACTAAAGAATCCTGCAACAACACAAAAGAATCTTACCAGGGATACAACAAAGCAAAACCAAAAAACAGTACACAAAAGAATACATATTGTATGACTTCATTCATATCAAGAAAAAAAAAAAAAAAAAACAAGCCAAATGGAATGATACACTTTAGGGATGCAAAAGTAAGTTGCAAGTTCTACCAAACACTCAAAGCACCCATAGACTGCTATAGGTTAGTAGGACAGTAACATGCAGGAGGCAAGAGAAAAGGCAGAAAATCCCAATAGGAAGTTACTGCGATTTAACTGAGACCGCCTGCCAAGAGCTAAGGGGGCCTGAGCCAGGGTGTGATTGTGGGGGCTGAGAGAAGTAGAGGATTAAAAAGAGCAGTGCCTGGGTGGCTCAGCTGGTTGTATGTCTGACTTTGGCTCAGGTCATGATATCACAGTTCGTGGGTTTGAGCCCTGAGTCGGGATCTGTGCTGACAGCTCAGAGCCTGGAGCCTGCTTCAGATTCTGTGTCTCCCTCTCTCTCTACCCATCCCCTGCTCATGCTCTGTCTGTCTCTCTCTCTCTCTCTCAAAAATAAATAAACATTTTGGGGCTCCTAGCTGGTCAGTCAGATGAGCATCTGACTTCGACTCAGGTCATGATCTCATGGTTCGTGAGTTCGAGCACCACACCGGGCTCTCCACTGTCAGCACAGAGCCCTGCTTCAGGTCCTCTGTCCCCCTGCCTCTCTGCACCCCACCCCCCGATGTCTCTCAAAAATAAACATTAAAAAATAATAAATAAATAAATGAATAAATAAATAAATAAATAAATAAATAAATTTACTTACATAAATAAGATAAAATCAAAATTAAATAATAATAATACAACGCTCTGTGCTGACAGTACGGAGCATGCTTGGGATTCTCTCTCTCCCCCTCTCTCTGCCCCTCCCCTGCTCTCTCTCTCTCTCTCTCTCTCTCTCTCTCTCTCTCTCTCAGAATAAACTTTAAAAAAATAAAAGAAAAAAAGAGATACAACAGACAGAACCTGATGACAGAACAGACACGAGAGGTAAGGTGGCGATGGTACCAAGGAATCCTCCCTTATTAAAAAGAGGGAAGAAGGAAAGAAACAGACTATACATCTGCAGATTATAGTATTTACAATATAGCTCTAATTTTGATGTTTAAAAGACATGAAGGTATTCTAAAAATACATTACCAAGAAGAATAAAAAACTGCAATGGATTAAAACACGTAAAATGCTAAAATTCATGAGGTCATCAGAAAACAGTAACACAAAAGAAGGAAAAGGGGATGAAGTATGCCACAGGTTCTAGCCATGTTGAGAAAGTGGTAAAAAATTAAGGCAAAGATGTATATCATGGAGTCCAGAGTAACCTCTAAGAGAATTTAACCCTAACAATACAATAGATGCAGAAGGGGGGTTGGGTGGGGGAGAAGAATTCATTGATATAAAAGAAGGAAGAAAAAGGAATATAAAATAGGAGGGTTAAATAAGAACAAAGAACAGGATGGCAGAAACATACTGCCATTTTCCCATACCTGTTAACACCCCAGGATGCTTCCAGAATGTGGGAAATTCTACAAGACAAACCTGACTTCTTCAACAACTAAATTGCAAGGAAAGAAGGAAGGAAGGGGAACAGTGGGTGGTAATTTATAGATTGAGACACATACTGGCTGAATGCAGTGTGTGGACATTTGGATCCTGATGTGAATTAACCAACTGCTTAAAAAAAAAAGAAAAGAAAAAAAAAGACAAACTGAGAAACTTAAACACTAAGTTAATAACGATTTAAAGGAATTCTTTTTAGGTGTGATAACAATATTGTACTTTTGTTTAAAATGTTTTTTCTTACCTGCTAGAGATCTGTAACAAAGTAGTAAAGGAACTACAAAGGAAGTGATATGTTATCTGAGATTTGCTTTAAAATGACCAGTTTGGCAAGGGTCGGGGGGGAGTAGGGGAGGCATGAAACAAGAAATGATCAAGACAGGCCGACGTGTTAACAATCATAGTAATACTCATATGGGATTTACTCTACTATTCTACTTCCGTATTCATTTGGATTGTACTGGAATATAAAATATAAAGGGACAGAAGGAGAAAGGGAGGGAGGAAAGATCTCTAGATAGAAAAGTATGTGTAGAAAATGTTTTGGCAGGATGTATCTCAAAATGTTCAAGTGGTTCTCTCTGGGCAAATGTGATCACAATTTTTAGAAAATGTTACAAATGTATCATCTCTGGGTAGGGAGATCACTGGTAACTTTTAGTCTCTTTTCTCTTTTTGCTTAGCTATGCTTTCTAGTTGTTTCTACAATGAACAGATCAGAATGTTGATTCAAAAATTATTTAAAAGGACAGAAGAAAGACTGCCAAAAAAACCCAAAGAACCTCCCACTTAAATCCACATTTTTTAACCACTTCTGGGTCCTAGCCCTTAGCAAAAACTAATGAGAGTGACTCTCTCTCTCCCCCCAGAAAAATGCACAATCCTACAGAATTTTTCATATGATGTGAAGAAACTCTGAGATTCCTAATGAACTCGGAGGCTTTCTACGTTGTTAGCAGTTATAGTAAATAATAACAGCTGACATTTATTGCATATTTGCTACATGCCAAGCATGGCCCTATGTGCTTTCCAACTGTTAACTCATTTCACCCTGCCACGCAACCCTGTGACATAGGTGCTCTCATCGTCCCCAATTTACAGAGGAGGAGAGTGAAGATAGAGAGGCTGAATAATACGCCCAGGGTCCCATAACTAAGGAATGGCAGAACCAGCAAACAAACTCAGCAGCCCGGCTCTAGAGCTGAGCTTTTCACTTCCCGATTATGAGACCATTCATAGGGTTAAGTCAAATATACCAAGCAAATGTGATGTCCTGAGTCGCACTCCGGAGACCATGACTTCAAATTCAACTAACAGTAAGTGCCCACCATGTGCCAGACTCCTCCAGACAGATGAACCCACCCAGCCCTTGCAACAGTGCTGTGAGGGACCCGCCCCAAAGACACCCAGCTAACTGCAGCAGGATCAGAAGCCGAGTCCGACTTCCAACTTCAAGTTCACCATCCCATAGCTGATTCCTTTCAAGTTGGAGGGATGGTCTGTTCTAAGCCTCACATGACTTCCGCATGAGCAAAATCTTTTCAAGGTAACTGGTGGAGATCTAGTTTAACCCTTAATTTGCACCCTTAATTTGTGCACCCTTAGTTTGTTCAATATGTGCACCCTTAATCTGCCTGCCCATGATCCAAAGACATCCAAGTTTTGAGATTTTCCCTCATCAGTCTACTTTAGCCACAGCTGAGACATCTTGGATGGAGACACGCTTCCACAAGTTTGCTCATATACATAAATAGAACTGTCTGCATATCCTGAAGACAAGTGCCAGGTGCTTGCACTCACAGACAATGCACTCACACACACTACGGCCTGTACAAGTACGCACAAGCGAATTACATGAAAGCCCTCATAATGCTCACAGTTTCACAGTTTAAGCATCGAGTTTCATTGGTGAGCGTTCCCTGAAAAATCTCATGGACCCAGGTGAGTTCTGGTTTATTATTCTCTGCAGGTTCATTCATGTTGCCATTTTTTAATTTTCCATTTTGTTTTTCCTGTTTCTTCTCTTCCTGCAGGATGTCCGCAATAGTGTTTAGCAAATAATTTAGAAACTCGTGAGCATCCTGCTGCATGTAGTTATCAAAGAGATCTGGAAAAGAGAAGGTCATCGTTTCAGTCTCTGGTTCTTGAAAAGCAAACACGATGCTCCATTTTACACACCACGCTTCAGTTTCTATATTGAAGTGTCCAGTGGACAGGTATCACATATATTCATCTCTATTTTCCAACTTTAATGGGTACATTTTAAAAGAATTTTGTTCATTTTTCTCACCACCCACCAAGAACTAAATTTCCCATGTCTCCTAAAAGTCATCATGTATATAAAAAGCTACCAAAATTTTTATTTGTTCTACAAAAAAAACCCAAGAAATTATTTGATAAGTTCCCTGATAAAATATCAATATTTAATATGATGTGACCACCAATGATCAATTATTCATTTTGCAATTTATCTAGAGCAAAAGGGGTCTCTTCCCAAAGATCATATTAAGCCCTGGACCAGACTGGAAGCAGCTTAAACGAAACACATATGGGAGATGAGGGATATATGTGTCTATCTGATAGTGTTCTGAAACCAAATACGAGTGATTCCAGAAGCCTACTGCTGTTCCCTGCCGTAGGGACAATCAAGAGACGAATGCAGCTGTGAAACTTCGTTATTAATCACGTTCGCGACAAGACTCGGGGGCGCTCTGCCTCCTGCTCACATTATTTTTATTCTGGCACGTATAAACTACAACAACGTTAAGAGACAGCAATCAAATTAAATGAGACTTTATAAAACAAACATCTGATTAACTGTGCAAGTCTGTTGGAGTAAGGCTGAAATCTAGGATAAACACAAGTTGCCATACCAACTATTTCTAGTCATAGAAATTACCAATGCAAATCTTCTGGAATTACCTAGTCCCCACCACCACGGCCCGCCCCCCCCCCAAAAAACCAAAAAAAAAAAAAAAACCCAAAAAACAAAACAAAACAAAAAAAAAATCAGAAGAAAAAAAAAATCAGGTGACAGCCGGGCATTTTTATAATATAAAGATATCAACTTAATATCCTTCAATTGTCTCAGGCATAAAAATCAGAGGTATTATGGGGTGCCTGGGTGGCTCAGTCGGTTGAGCGTCCGACTTCGGCTCAGGTCACGATCTCGCGATTCGTGAGTTCGAGCCCCGCGTAGGGTTCTGGGCTGATGGCTCAGAGCCTCGAGCCTGCTTCCGATTCTGTATCTCCCTCTCTCTCTGCCCCTCCCCTGTTCATGCTCTGTCTCTCTCTGTCCCAAAAATAAATAAATGTTAAAAAAAAATTTTATTTTTAAAAATCAGAGGTATTATTTTTAAAAGAGCAGAGTCTCCAATTAGAGAATATACATTTATTTTAATCACTTACGACAACTTTATAAGAGTACCATTTTATTCAATTACTGCATCAACTTATTTATTCCAATCAGTGTGCCGGCCTAGAAGGCTGCCTTGGGCAAGTTTTCTCTTACATGGGTCCTATCCAGAAAAAAGCCCCTCCCGATGCACGGCAAATAAAAAGACGATTCCAAAACGAAATGATAAGTCCGAATTTGTAAGCATATTTTTTATCCAGTCTTATTTTACGTATACGTGGTGGAAAAGGAGAATTATATCTGCCTTTATGAGTAGTTGGCCAGACCATTTTCCCATGAAAAAAAGCAAGAGGGGAGGTACGTTTTGAGGATACACAGAACTATGAATACTCCTTCTTTCGGACCTTCAAACACATTACTCACCATTCTCTTTTCTCAGCCTCGAAATGAACTTCTTTGGTGGGATCACGCCAACCTTCTTCTTCTGCGTGGCAATGCTGTGGAAAAGGTCTGCCAGGCACGTCAGTAAGTTTTCCTTCTTTTTTTGCTGGGCCTTGTATGCCAACACATTCTCCCGGAACGGCCGACAGAAGTATAATGCCTGAAGCACGGAGTTACAGTAGCACGTGTTTCCGAACTGACAAAGGACAACAGGGATGGTTCAAGTTCATGGTCTGGAGACGTGCCACCTCCGGTGGGAAGAGGGAGAAGCCCACCCTCCAGGAGCCAGCCCAGATTTCCCAGTATCGGAGGCCTGCTCGCCATGTTAGAAAACCAGCAAACCACTCTACACACACACCAGTGACTATCTGAGCAACAGGGAAACGAATACAGGTTTATATCAGCCTGGTGCCTCTCTAGCCCATGAAAGTCCCTAAAATAGATAAGAAGCTCTCAGCCTTAATTTAAAAAAAAAAAAAAAAATCTAAGGAGAGCTTCTAGTGCTTAAAAAGAAAAGAAGAAAACTCGACATAATACGGTGACGAAGGAAAGCAGCTGGCTAAATAAGAGAGGCCATGTTGTAGGGGGGTGCCTGGGTGGCTCAGTCAGTAGAGCGACCAGCCTCGGCTCAGGTCATAATCTCATGGTTCGCAGGTTCGAGCCCTGCATCAGGCGCTGGGCTGACAGCTCAGATCCTGGAGCCTGCTCCGGATTCTGTGTCTCCCTCTCTTGCTACCCGTACCCCACTCACACTTAGTATGTCTCTCTCTCTCTCCAAATAAATATTGAAAAGTAACAATAATTAAATAAATAAGAGAGGCCACATTACGACATATCTAAACTCCTACGGTGGAAAATAAAAATCCAAATCAGAAAGAATCCAAGAAAAAGAACCAGTTGGTCAGCTGAAGCAGCCTCATCTACACGGGGACTTGTTTTAGTCTTACTCTCCCAAGACTCTGGCGCCCCTGCGCATTGCTTCAGACCCCCTGTCCTCACTTACTCCAGAGCAATGGGGCAAAGAGGTGCCTCCCTAGGTCATCCCACCAGCTTCTTCCCCTCCAACTCCTGAGTTACCCTCAGTCTTTTTTCTGCCATGATGATAAGTGTCCCAACACAACGGCACTCAGTTCCTGGTCTCCTACAATCACATTAGGACTCACACCCTAATATTCTGTTCCTGTCAAAAACCACGGATACTCAGATTATGATTAAAGAAGGAAAAAGTCATCATCTCAGTGGTTTTCAACAGACTGTGACACCAACTCAGTGGAAGAACACAGCCCAGACTATCACTTTAGGAATCTTCACAGAGAGGAAAATAAAAAGGGAAAAATCTAAAGAAACCACAAGATTAATAACATAGATTTCAAAATCCTTTGTAAGATTAAAATAGAACATGAACATCTTCTCAAGATTGGTTGTTGGCTTGTGTGTCATTTTCCCAAGGGTGAGACAGATGCTCCGCCATACTTAATGTGACATTTCTACGTATGCTAAGAGAGAACATTTCCTATTTTTACATATTTTAATCTACTTTGACATAATTATGTAATAGGAGACAAACCTCTTTTTAAAGAGAAGCTGGAGCTTTCATGAATTACCATTTGAAGTGAACATAAATGAAGCTGTTAATAAATGTAATCTCACGATGCTTCCACAAACTAGGAAATGGACTTAATTCTTTTTTTCCTCGTTTGTATTTTCCCTAGCGAGGGCAGAATTTTCCACAACTTGAACAACTATCTTCATAGAGCTCAGCAGAGGCCTGTGCATAATGGCTAAAAAAATTGTATTAAAATTAGAAGTCCAGGGGCGCCTGGGTGGCTCAGTCGGTTGAGTGTCCAGCTTCGGCTCAGGTCATGATCTCACGGCTCATGGGTTTGGGCCCCGCGTCGGGCTCTGTGCTGCCAACTCAGTGTCTGGAGCCTACTTCAGATTCTGTGTCTCCCTCTCTCTCTGCCCCTCCCCTGCTCACGCCCTGTCTCTCTCTGTCTCTCAAAAATAAATAAATGTTAAAAAAAACCATTTTAAATTGGAAGTCCGTATTTCACCAACAGAATGCCCTATATTCTAGTACTTTAGCCTTCCTTCCTCCATCCTTTTCTCTTTGACTCAGTGTATCCGCCTTTGCCTAGGCACCCTTTAGTAATGCTTGGCCCCGATCCAGTGGATGACTCTGGGAAGGAAAAGGAATTAACGTTTACGGAGTGTCAGGGTCTCACAAGACTCAGCCTTGTGTCAGGGTCTTCAGTAGGAGCTCGCTCACTGATCCTTCATTACAACCCAAGAGAAAGATATCGTTATGGTGTCCAATTTACAGATGGAGAAATGGAGGCTCAAAGAGGCCCAGTGACTTGCTCTAGATCACACAGCTAGTGAGCAGCACAGGCAGAATTCAGGGCTATATTACTTCAAAGCCAATGTTCTTTCCATTATGCCACAAGGGGCATTTGTTCACTGAGAATACTTCTAGCTTCCCCAGTGGAAATTACTAGCTGTTACACCTGGGTACTGACAGATTCTGCTCAGAGCGGTTGTACCAGAAAACCAGGTGCTTGTGAGGTGCTTATGAGGTGGAAAACCTTTACCCCAGAGGGAACGGATCAGGTGAGGAAGAAAGCTCACAAGGGTATTGGGTAACATCGCCTAACGACTTAGTCATAACCAACTCATCAAGGAAGCAGAGCCTAAGTGTGGTCACATGCAAGGCAGCATTGCTGAGCACAGATAAGATGAGGCCTAGGAATTGGGAGATAAATTGGTCCCAGTCTTCCCCCTCACAATCCACCCCTGCTTTCAGTACCAGCATCAAGTTTGATTGTTAAACAGTTCCTGGTGATGAGCTGGTAACACTTTTAAAACTCCAGGGGCGCCTGGGTGGCGCAGTCGGTTAAGCGTCCGACTTCAGCCAGGTCACGATCTCGCGGTCCGTGAGTTCGAGCCCCGCGTCGGGCTCTGGGCTGATGGCTCAGAGCCTGGAGCCTGTTTCCGATTCTGTGTCTCCCTCTCTCTCTGCCCCTCCCCCGTTCATGCTCTGTCTCTCTCTGTCCCAAAAATAAATAAACGTTGAAAAAAAAAATTAAAAAAAATAAAATAAAATAAAACTCTGTACTCATGCATACTGAAACAGAGACTGGCCAAAGACCAGCTCACCCACATGATACAAGCAGATTTGGCCATAAAGGCTAATGAAATTATTCCAAAAGTTACAAAGGAAATCTCATGAGCACCGGGGAAAAAAGTGAGAATGTGACCCAACAATGCAGTAATTAAACCCTTTTTTCTGGGACAACTGACACTTTGAAAAACTGAACTAAATTTCTCCTCCCCAACACCTGCCATTTCTAGGAACTAAGGCGCATGAACAATTATTTAAAAATTGGTAATAAGAGAAACTGCCATGGAGTTGCTTCAAGTACTCTAAAACATTTGATAAAAATAAGACATCTTTATATACTCACATTGACCAATCCAAAATAGTGTTCATTGATTGGAAACTGCTCTGGACCAATGTCTTTTTCCAGAGCAGAGGCATTGGTGCCCTGAAAGAGAAAAATAACAAAGTTTCTATTGTACATAAAATGGACAATAGACTCTTAAGAGAGTCCACTATTGAGATCAGCATCTCTCTCGCCCTCGTGGTGGTTAGTGCTGTTTGTGCTGGGGAAAAAAAGTGTCAGAAGTAAGTCGGTAAAGGAATTAATAATGTCAGCCTTATTCTTCTCTTCATCCAATGTAATCATCCCTTCAAACCCATTCTACCTGACTTCCATGATCTTCTGTTAGTAAAGTTGGTTTGAGATAGGCAAATAAGCAAATTATCATTAAGAGCTTGTGAATAAAACATTGTAAATTGTAAGCCCAGCAGCTTTTATAATACTTGGTGGTGTAGAGAATCATATCACCACTCTCAAAGTCAACGTCTTCATTCTGATAACGATTTACTGCACGCCCACTATGTGCCAGGTACTATTCCAGGCAGTGACAATGTAACAGTGAACAAACCAGACAAGGAAGCCCACACTCACGGAGCTCACATTTTAGTGAAGACAGCCAGAAAGAAAAAGCAAATACAATGGACAGTATACAGGAAGGTGGTAAGCGCAGTGATGAACAACAAATCAGGAAATGAGGGTGTGGACCTCAGGGAGGAGAGAAATGAAGGCGGGGGGGGGGGGTGGGGGGGGAGTGTACATAGTTGAAGCTTTAAATATGGCACTCAGAGAAATGCCTTAACTGGGAAAGTGAAACGTCCAAGGAATACTGTGAATAATGGAACGATATACTTTAAAACCCTTCCCAAATGCATCAGATTGGTGAGCCACACGACACCCATTTCTCCCGGAAGGCCCAGACGACCCCGCTGCAATTAGGAAAAGTGACCGAAGTCCAGTCCAACAAGGTAAGCCGTTTGGGGTGCGAGGATCAGGCTCCACATATACCTGTGGCTCTATCATCATTCTATAGCCTTCTCTCGTTCTCAGGCTATCAGAGAAGGACTCCGTTCAGAGAATCTCAAACATCTGGGAGACAGGAAGAGACACCGTTGTGTTTTCTAAAAAAAATGAACCTGCTGCTAATATCTATTCTTGATCCATATAATTGGCATCTCCTGTCATGGGAAGAAATGGCCAAAAGGTGGACTGAGAACCAGACAAAATGGTCACTTGTCAGCAAGAAAATGTTAAATGTAAAATAACCCAATTTTGAGCAAACAGGACTGCAGCAGAAATGGCCAATTCTATTCCCTTATCATAACATCCTGTTTTCATGTGTTTTCTAGGTCCATTATACAGCCCACCAATCTAAATTCCCTTTCCTGTCAGCTGAGACTTTGAGCTCAGTGGTCATTTGTGCATATTTGATAGTTTCACTGTCTTCTCGTGCGCGCACGCGTGCGGTTTCCATCACCTTTCACAATAAGCGACGCCATATACAAGGCTGAGTCTTTTAAACAGCAGTTATAATATTACAGCAGGATTTTATGGTATAGACAAAAACCACTAAAATTTTTCAAAAAAGCCACATCCCAATCATAAATCAATATAAATAATGCATATTAAATACACCCACGGCCATATCTGAAGCAACATTAGAATATATGGCTTAGAGCCCAGGAGGAATTTCAGATATAAAAGGATAGCGCATGGAGACAGAGCTCATTAAATCTCTCTTTATGAGGTAGCCATATATTCAAGTGAATCCATGATTTTCACTATTTAGGAATCCTTGGATCGAGTCTGCTTTTCTCTACCTAGCTTAATATTTTCCCACTGGAGGGAGAGTTGGGGAGGTGATTACCCAAACAGAGGGCAATGTTTAAGAGGAATAACCTGTGCTAAACACCTGCCCTCCTGAGGTCCACACCTCCCAGGTCTGTGCAAGGCCCTTCCCATCTCCTTTTCTTGGCTGACCTCCATTCACAGACGACCTCACCCTCCCCTCTGCCTCCTGCTGTCATCCGGGGTCATCTCAATACCCACGTGGAGGAGCATTCCCACAGCCTGCTCTCTCGGTAACTGGATGTCCTCTTTACCAGCTGGCTTTTATTCCACTCCATTCCAGCTCCTCTGGACCTGGTCACCACCCTACAATCGATCCAGGCTCCGCTCTGCCTGCCAGCTTCCTTAAGCATCCCAGCACCATGGCTACATTCACCTCACCTGATCCTGTCACGCCTCTTCTTTCTTATTCAGCGTAGAGCCCAGGAAGCATGACTTCAATTGCTCTTAAAAACCCTGTCCTCTGGTCACACCACCTGGCAAAAAACTAAGCCAGTAGGAGCCAAATGGTCCGCCATCTCTGAACATACACCCATAGAGACGTGCAATGCTAACGGAAGAATGCCGGCTGGACTCACTTGAATTCACCAAGCAGGCCCCGAACATGTCCCGCCTCCAATAATGTCTCTTCAGCGCACTCATTCTCTCCACAGTGACTGTTTCCAACTTTCCTGGAGCTCCTCAAATCTTCAACATCCCCTAGTTCCCCTCTGCCCCACTCACTGGCTTCCTACTCAATAGGGGAACATTTTTTTTAATTGGATTAAATTGAACCAGCAGAGAGGAACTCTCGTTCCCAAACCTTCAAACCTACATGCCTCCCTCTGTTAATGACGGACACGTCTCTCGTCCAAGCCCGTCTCTCCTCCACAGTTAGATCCTTCCCGTCAGAATTTAACATGCCTACTGCAGGGCCCTGTAGAGGGTGTTAACATGATGTGATTTCTGCCCAGTGCTGCAAATGTCAAAGTGAAGAATTTAGCATGCCTAACTGCCTCCCCCTCTAAAAATGCACACGTGCACACTCTCCCACACATCTCCCCAGTGACCTCCCCCTCATCACTGTCCCATGAGAGCTCAACTTCTTTAAAGAACTCTATTCTGAAACATCTACAGATGAGTCAGATAACTTCTAAGATTTATTTTAAATAACCAGTGGTGAGGTGGGGAGAAGTGAGGACACGCTGTGTTGTTGAAGCTGAGTGCTGGGTACGTGGGGCTCGTTATACTATTCTGTTTATACATTAACATTTATGTGTGCTGGCAGAGTAATGGTGCCCCAAAGATGTCTATGTCCTAATCCCCAGAACTTGTGAATACATTACCTTACATGGCTAAGGAAAATTCAGCTTGTAGATGGGATTAATTTGCTTATGAGTTGACCTTAAAATAGAAGGACTGTCCCAGATTATCTTGGCGGGCCCAATGTTATCACAAGCATCCTTAAAAGTGGGAAACACACAGACCGACGGATCAGAGTGACGCTATGTGTGAAGGACTCAACTGGCCCTTGCTAGTTCTGAAGACGAAGGAAGGGGGCCAGGAGCCAAGGAGCACACGCAACCTCCAGAAGCTGGAAAAGGCAAGGAACAGTCTCTGCTGGAACCTCCAGGAAGAACTCAAACTTATACATCCTATATGTTAGCTCCGGGAGGCCAATTTCAGGTCTTTGACCTCCGGAACTATAAGCCAAGAAATTTGTGTTGTTTAAGGCACTAAGTCAATCCTAATTTCTTATAGCAGCAATAGGAAGCTAATACAATTTTGGGAAGTTTTCCATAATACTCTTTAAGATTCTTCTGTTTCTTCACCTCCACATTTCTTCATCTGGATTCTATCTCCACTTCACCCCCGATGAGCTCGAAACATTGACAACTACAGAGGGCGCTTTTAGCTACCCTGGGCTTTCTACAAGCACTGAGGCCCTCTTCCCTCTTCTCCATGCCTCTCTATAGGGTCCAGGCAATAACCACTCATGTGGCACCAATCAGCAGCTACCATTTCCAATTTCATCTTCATTCCAGAAAACTTCTGAGCTCATTCAGACTGGATGAATATTGACATTTCCGCTGGTTTGTCTCATAGGCCCTCAAAATCAATCTACTCCAAATTAGAGCATTCCCTTCTCCTTCCCCCCAATTCCAACCCTTTCCTGGTATTTCCCCACAAATGACAATGCTGCCACCTTCTTGGCCGACGCTAGGTCTAGCCTGGGGGTCTTGCCCGACCCACCCACTACCATGTCTGTGGTTTCAATCTCTCAGAGCCATCCGCTTCTCTTTCATCTTCTGCCACGAGCAAGGCAAGGCCCCCAGCATCTCTCACCTGAATTACGACAGCCTCCTATGTGGCCTCCAACACCCTCCATACCCACCTCTAACCCCACTGTCATCATGGCGGCACAAGTGTTCTTTGTAAATACAAAGGTACTCTAAAACCCTCCAGTGACTTCCCCTGCTGTCTCCAGCGTCACCTCTCGACACCCACTCCCTTGTACACTTGGCTGTCACAACAGCCTTTCGTTCCATTCCTCATACAGATCAGGACACCTCAAATTCCATCCCACTCACCACCCGAAGGTTCTTCCTCAGCTTCTCCACCTGGTTGTACCCCACCATCCTTCTCAGGGCATTCTTCACTGACTACCCCCAGGCTCTGGTAGTCCCTGTGACAGAAAGAATAATGGCCCCTCCACACGCTAATCCCTGGAATCTGTGAATCTGTTGCCTTACATGGAAAAAGGAACTGTGCAGGTACAGTTAATTTAAGGATCTTGAGGTGGGGACATCACACTGGATTATCTGGGTGGGCCCAGTGTAACCACAAGGGAGGGTCCTCAGGAGAGGGAGGTGAGAGGCAAGAGTCAGTGAGAAGACACGACAACAGAAGCAGAGTTCCGAGAGTTCCTGGGCGACGGAATGTAGGCAGCCTCTAGAAACTGGAAAAGGCAAGGAAACGCATTCTCTCCTAGAGCCTCTAGAAGGTGTGGGGCTAGCCGGAACCTTGACTTTAGGATTTTTGACCTCTGGAGCTTCAAATGAAGCTCTGAAGTCTGTGGTAATTTTTTACAGCAGCAACAGGAAACTTCACCCACACGACCTCCACCCCCCACCTGGGGACCCTGTATGGTATCCATACCTGGTACAAGGGGACTTGGCAGGTGTCAGCGGCCATGACCAGCTAACATCAGAAATGGAAAATGGGTGCCTGGGTGGCTCAGTCGTTTGAGCATCTGACTTCGGCTCAGGCCATGATCTCAC